CCCTGGGAGTTGGCTTGTGGTTTCCTCCATCCCTTTCCATGGATGCAAAGGATGCCGCCAAGACTCTGGCTGCCTCGAGGAAATGACATAACAATGCCATGGGTGCGTGTGCGTATTCCTCCTCCTCCTCCTCCTCCTCCACCACCACCAGCAAAACTGACTCACGTTTGCATCCTGTATCTTCCCCTGTGGCCAAGATGCTGTGGGAAGGGCGAGCGCGCGCCTGGTGGCGCCCAGCAAGCAAGCCAGCAGCCCACGCAAACAAAAGCAGCATCTCTCCCTCCATCCTCCTACCTGCCGTGGGAGGAGCAGCAGCAGCAGCAGCAAATAAACCCGCACCCACCCGAGGCATCCTTCCCATTCAACTCACCTCCAGCAACGCCGTCTGCAGCCGGGCACCTGCGCGAGGGGTGGAAGGAGAAACAAGGCCCGGGGGGGAGGGCGGAGAGGTTGCCAGCCGCCGCTGCTGCGCTCCGCTAGGCGAGGACTCGGCGCCCGCCTTGCTCTCCTCCATGCAGCGAGCGACACCTCTCTCTCTCTCTGGCGAAGGATGCTGAGGAGAGGAAGGGAGGAAGGGAGAGGCTGCCCCAGTCCTTGAAGAACAGCCCCCACCCTTTCGTCTTCCCTTCAACCTGAGGCGCTGCTGCTGCTGCTGCTTCCTAATCCTTTTTTTTTTTTTGCCTGCCTGCCTGCCTCTTCTCCCTCGCGCGCGCTCCCGGCAGCCGCCTCAACGTCCCCTCAGCCTGCGCCTTCTCTGGCGCCTGGGCGCGGGCATCTTCCTTGTTGACGAGGCTGCTCCGTCCTGGAAAAGGCGGGAGAGAAAGGAGGAGGGAAGGAAGGAAGGAAGGCGAGAGACCCGCCTGTGCTCAAGGGAGAGGCAGGCCCAAGGAAGCAACCGCAGCAGCGGCTTTCGCCTCAGCGAAAGGCTGCGGGCGGCGAAGGCGAGAGCGCCAAAGCGCGACTCGGTGCCATGTTCTCCTCCGGCGGCGCCGAGGAGGAATGGAGGGAGACGGGGGTGACTGAGGGGAGGCGCGCGCGGCGTTTTCGCTGCCCAGGGCGGTGCGGAGGCAACGGGAGGGGCGCGCGGCGCTGCCTGCGCTGAGGTGAGAGAGAGAGAAAGGCGAGACGGAGCTTTAAGGAGAACCGCAGCAGCTTGCGCAAACAGACGCTCTCCAAGCGCGAAAGCCGCCGCCGCCGCCGCTACATTGCTTCCTCGTCGCCTCTGCCTTTTTGCTTCCCTCCCAGCTGCTGCTGCCTGTGGGTGGGGAGCTAACCCTAACCTCCACCTCTTTGCAGGGGCTGCGGAGGGAGAATTGTGGGTAATCCAGCTGCGCTCCTTCCCTCGCTCTCTTGGGGTCTTTCTGCCTCTCCTCCTCGAAGCCGCCTTCCCCGTCGGAAGCCAGGGCGGACGCCGCCCCCTAGAGCAGCTGCCCGGGAGCGCGGCGAGGCGTCCGGGCGCCGCCAGCTGCCGCCAGGAGTCTCGCTCCCTCCCATAAGGGGAGAGCTCCCCGTGGGGGGGTGTTTCTTTAAACTGTTTTTACACAGCCCTTCAACATTTCTCCGATGGAAATAGGGGTGTCCTATACATCTCTTTTACATCTTAGCAAGGCTACTCCGAGGCATAGCTGTCAACTTACAGATTTGAAAATAAGGGACCAGCAGCCTCGGTAATAAGGGATCAGCAGCCAAAATGCGGATTTTGCTTGACTTATGCATAAATCCGGCACTGATTGAGCCATGCTGCTTTGACTGCGACTGTGTTTTGCAGGGGGTTGGACTAGACGATCCTAAGGGTCTACAACTCAGACCAAAAAAGAGTGGCAGACAAAACTGATGAGATGGCAAAGCTAACAGGCAGAATTAGAAACCAGGAAGAGGACCTCTTTAATAAAGAATGGGGGAAGTTTATAATTGATTTGAAAAGCTATTGTAAAGAGTTACATACATTGGTAGAATTGACAGAAAACTTGTAGTAAAAATTTGAACTATGGATGGACAAATGATTTATAAAAATAGTTATGAAAGGGATGCAGAGGGGGAAGTCACTACATTAAGATGCTGCGCTGGTTGGAGGGGATGCTAAGCAGCACGTCAGGGCTGCCGTCGTCCTGGCGCGAGGAGTTCCATCAGCCCTTCCCTGCCCGAGAGAGGGGGAGGGAGAGAGACTCTCGCCCATACCGCCCGTGAGCCCGGCATGAGGCCGTTGCGGCGCCACGGCGGCCGCTGAAGCGCCGCCCTTCTGCATCCCTCCCCATCCCCTCCTCTTCCTCTTCCCTCAGGCCGCCTCCTCAGCCGCTGCCGCCTCCGGCTTCCCCTGGCAGCGTGGCGGAAGTCTCGCAAGAGAAGGGCTGCCTGCCCGCCACCCGTCTCCTCACGATGCACCACTGAGGAGGAAAAGGGAAAGACGGAGACGCGGCAGCTCGTGCATGCGCGCTCTCTCTCTCAAGGCGGAGGACCCCGAGCCGCTGCTTCCCTCCCAAGCCGGGCGAGCATGAAACCGGGTAATTTAAGGGACATCATCAATCCGGGACAGCAGTGAGAAACGGCGCTGGGATAAGGGAGTTTTCCGCCAAATAAGGGACAGTTGACAGCTATGCTCCGAGGTAAATACCATCTGTAAATCATTTTCAAGTAGTTCTCCTTCAACGAAGAACGTGCTGCAGATGCAATGAGGTCTTTCATAGGTGGTGGACCCCAAAAAGGCTAAAAGAGTATTGGGAAATAATTTATACAGTGGTACCTCAGTTCTCAAATTTAATCCGTTCCAGAAGTCCGTTCCAAAACCAAAGCGTTCCAAAACCAAGGCACGCTTTCCCACAGAAAGTAATGCAAAACAGGTTAATCCGTTCCAGACTTTTAAAAAAACAACCCCTAAAACAGCAATTTAACATGAATTTTACTCTCTAACGAGACCGTTGATCCATAAAATGAAAGCAATAATCAATGTACTTGCTAGAAAATAAATAAGACAGTATTGTATATAATCAAAATTAATTATTTTTCCTACTTGCTCTGATGCTAGTCATTGTTTGCGGGGGGAGGGGGCTTTTATCCATTTCCGCAGTCACACAATCGGCTGAACTGGGTTCCACACAGTCACAAAAACAAATTAACCAAAAAATCTTCAAAAACAAAAACACAAAATAAATAGCAAAACCAAAAGTCCCAAATACAGTGGTACCTTGGTTCTCGAACTTAATCTATTCCGGACGTCCATTGGACTTCCAAAATATTCGAAAACCAAGGTTTTCTGATTGGTGCAGGCACCTCAGAAACAAAAGCCGATGGCCGCATCAGACATTTGGCTTCCGAAAAACGTTTGAAAACCAGAACACTTACTCCCGGGTTTTTGGTGTTTGGGAACCAAATAATAATAATAATAATAATAATAATAATAATAATTTATTATTTATACCCCGCCCATCTGGCGGGGTTTCCCCAGCCACTCTGGGTGGCTTCCAACAAAATATTAAAATACAATGGTCTGTTAAACATTAAAAGTTTCCCTAAACAGGGCTGCCTTCAGATGTTTTCTAAAAGTCTGGTAGATGTTTTTCTCTTTGACATCTGGTGGGAAGACGTTCCACAGGGCGGGCGCCACTACCGAGAAGGCCCTCTGCCTGGTTCCCTGTAACCTGGCTTCTCGCAGCAAGGGAACCGCCAGAAGGCCCTCGGCGCTGGACCTCAGTGTCCAGGCAGAACGATGGGGGTGGAGACGCTCCTTCAGGTATACTGGGCCGAGGCTGTTTAGGGCTTTAAAGGTCAGCACCAACACTTTGAATTGTGCCCAGAAACGTACTGGGAGCCAATGTAGATCTTTAAAGACCGGTGTTATGTGGTCTCGGCGGCCGCTCCCAGTCACCAGTCTAGCTGCCGCATTCTGGATTGGTTGTAGTTTCCAGGTCACCTTCAAAGGTAGCCCCACACAGAGCACATTGCAGTAAAAGCAAGAGATAACTAGAACATGCACTACTCTGGTGAGACAGTCCACGGGCAGATAGGGTCTCAGCCTGCGTGCCAGATGGAGCTGGTAAACAGCTGCCCTGGACACAGAATTGACCTGCGCCTCCATGGACAGCTATGAGTCCAAAATGGTTTGAGAACCAAGGTGTTTGAGAACCAAGTACCACTGTAGTTCTCCTTCAAGGAATAACATGCTGCATAAGTGCTGGAGATGCAATGAGGTCTTTCATATGTGATGGACCTGTAAAATGATACGGAGTATTGGGACATAATTTATAATGAATTGGAAAAAATGTTTCCAAAAAAACCCCAGAGTCCTTTTTGTTGGAGATAATTCAGATGGAAATTCCCAGGTGTCAAAAAAGGTTATTTATGTATGCCACTTTGGCGGCCTGTGTTTTGTTAGCCGAAAAATGGAAAACAAGTGAAGTCCCAACTAAAGAAAAATGGCACCTTAAACTGATGGAATATGCACAGCTTGCAGATCTAACTAGAGAACAGATCTAACTAGAGAATTAGATCTAACTAGAGATCTAACAAGAGAACAAGAAGAGCATTTGTTTAAAGAAGATTGGAAAATGTTTATTGAATATATGGGGAAAGTGTGTACACTTGAAAACGTTGGCAGCATTAAGAAATTCAACAGTGTGAATAAGTATTGATGGAAGTAATAATGGAATACTGAATGGTTTAGCTTATATAAAATATGCAGGGATTTATGTTATGCAAAATGAACCATGGAAAGAGAAGAAGGGAAGTCACTGATATTTTAAGGTTGTTTAAATGAATATTCTAAATTGCAAAACAGAAAATTTAATATATATATATATTCTATGTTTCTATATGCTGGAAGCATATATATATATATATATATATATATATATATATATATATAATATATATATATATATCTGTATATAATATTATATATATATATATATGTATGTATGCTTCTAACCTATAGAAACATAGAATTGTAGAGTTGGAAGGGGCCACGAGGGTCATCTAATCCAACCCTCTGAAATGCAAAAATCTTTTGCCCAATATGAGGCTGGAGCCCATGACCCTGAGATTAAGAGTCTCATGCTCTCCTCACTGAGCTAACCCAGTGATATTTAATTTATAAAAACATAATAAAATATTAGACTTTTTTTAAAAAACCGTATACAGGGCTGCCTTCAGATGTCTTCCAAAAGTTGTATACTGACTTATGTCCTTGGCTCAAGGGTCATATAACTCCATACCCTCTGATAGAAATATGGATATCCTACTATACATTTTTATGATGAAAATAGGGACGTCCTTAGGAAAAGCAGAACATTCCGGGATCAAATCAGAAACCGGGACGGCTTCTGTAAATTCAGGACTGTCCCTGGAAAATAGGGACACTTGTAGGGTCTGTTTTTATTAAACATTTTCTTGGGTTATAAAAGTCCATACATCATCTCTCTTCAGTCCTTAAAGTCCTTTCTAAAGATGAGTTCTGTTCTATCCCCAAGGTTGTTGGTGCATTTTAAATGGACAAAAAAGGGCTGAAATAATTGAACCCAGTGAGACTTCATTCCGAATAGACATGCAGATGATGACACTTGCAGGATTTCTTAACAGTAAAGTCATAACTAATCTGAGTTATGTGACCCATAATATGTACTCTTGCTTAAGCAGTGCTTTACTTTGTCAGAAGGATGTCAACACAGACTGTGTACACATTTGTCTTTTAAAGCGAAGTGGTTCTCTCCCCCCCGCCCACTTCAAATCGCATTTGCACATCGTTGAACATACAGTACAGTTAGATGTGTTTAGATGTGTTTACCGTGTGGCCTGTCCACACACACACACACACACACACAGAGTAGTGAGCAGAGAGAATACATATATTCATATGATGTACATTTTCAAATTTGAGTGAAAACGGTTTGGTGGGGAAATGTATCAAAACACGGCATTTCTCATGAAACTGCAGGATAGATGTGGATTGTGGCTAACGTACGTACAGTGGTACCTCAGGTTAAGTACTTAATTCGTTCCGGAGGTCCGTTCTTAACCTGAAACTGTTCTTAACCTGAAGCACCATTTTAGCCGCCGGAGCACAATTTCTGTTCTCATCCTGAAGCAAAGTTCTTAACCCGAGGTACTATTTCTGGGTTAGCGGAGTCTGTAACCTGAAGCGTATGTAACCCGAGCTGGCTTCACAAACCAGCAGTGGGAGTATTCTGGATACAGAGTAAACAGGTAAAAAGATGAAGGTAAAGGGCCCCTGGACGGTTAAGTCCAGTCAAAGGCGACTATGGGGTTCTCGCTTTCAGGCCGAGGGAGCCGGCGTTTGTCCACAGACAGCTTTCCAGGTCATGTGGCCAGCATGACTAAACCGCTTCTGCCGCAACAGAACATTGTGACAGAAACCAGCATTCCTTACGATAGGTTCAGGATACAGCAGGCACTAGGACACACACACACACACACACCCGAAAGTAGCTAGTGGTCACCACGGAACCTCATTTTATCACCTGCCTATTCTGAGGTAGATTGGGCTCTCAGTCCCATAAACTCCTTAACTGAAGAGGGGTTTGATCTTGGATCTCCCTTCTGAAACCTCAGGCCTGACTGCTGAACCCATGATTTGTTTTGTTGTGGGTTAGCATGACTGGCTGATTATAAAGGTTTTAACATCCAGCTGGATTTGGCTTATCGCCAAATACTGGGATTGGTGCTTTTGAGGGCAAAACAGAGCAATGATAATAAATGGCTCACCGTTTATTTTTTTATGAGATATGGGCTGTACCCTTTAATAGCAGCTAAGCAAGGCTTTCCTGTCTGCCTCGACAGTGGGATCAGTCAAAGCCATGTCTAGCAGTCAGGAAGAAACCACTCCTGTGATGGACAGGCTACAGACACACGGAAACTGTTGCCCGAGGGTTGACAGACTTGCGTCCCCAACAACACACCATATAAAACAGAGATGGCACTTCCTTCTGTTGTACCTCAGGCAGAAACAAGGAAAGGGGGAAAGAACAATGTGGGTGACATTCACTGAATATTGCAATACTACCTGAGGTTAAAAAGATGAGAGTTAAAGGCATTCATGCTACTGTGGAGGCCTGCAATGTGCTATTGGAGGTGGTAATCCTATACGTACGTACCTGGGATTAAGTTGCATTGAACTCAGTGGGACTCACTTCTTAATAAACATGCATTGGGTGTGATCAGAGTTGTAGCTCAACAACATGGCGGTGGGAGACCATAGAGTTGGTTACCTCTTCTTAAAGTCTTGTTCTCATTTTGATGTTGTTTCCATTATTATGAATCAGCCTCTGAATCCAAACCCAGTATTGGCCGTTCTATCACTAGACAGTGCTCTAGACCATGGGTCGGCAAACTAAGGCCCGTGGGCCAGATCAGGCCCAATTGCCTTCTGGATCCGGCCCGCGGATGGTCCGGGAATCGCCATGTGGATCGCCAGTTTGTGCGTTCTTTCCCTCTCCCTCCCTCTCCCTCACGCGGCACCTCCTCCCTCCCTCCTCCTGGCTTCTCCCTGCCCTGCCTAGAGGAGGAAGGGGGCTGGGCTTTGTTGGTGCCAGCAGCAGCAGCGCTTGAGCGGTCGCCATTTTAAGCAGCCCCTCTCCAGAGCCCTTTCGGCACGACTCATCGTCCCCCCACCGCTGCCAGCTCCTGCCGCTCACAAGACACAGGTAAGCAGCCACTGGGGCTCGTGGTGATCTTGCCTCATTTTCCCCCAAAAAATATAGTCCGGCCCCCCACAAGGTCTGAGAGACAGTGGACCGGCCCCCTGCTGAAAAAAATTGCTGACTCCTGCTCTAGACCCTCCCCTTATAAAGATCATGTTGGAATTTTGGAAGCCAAGATTGAAGTTTCAGGCAAGCTTTCTTTGGTGAGAGAACCCTAGTGTCATAGTCCTGTGCTGCCAGCCATGGCAGAGCTCAGTGGAGGGAGAAGCCAGCTGAAGCTCAGGGGGTACTTGCCTGGAGGCAGAGTTGGTATACAAGGTCCAGTCCAGTCCAGTCCTAAGATTAGGCGTATCTCAGTTCACGTAGTCAGACAATCCAGGGGTCAAGAAAGACAAGAGTCCAAGGTCACAAGAAGCATGAAGCAGCAAGGTCTGGCCAGGAATGACAGGTGTTGTTTCCAACAACTGACTGAGGTTGAAAACCCAGCTTAAGATAGTTGGTTCTCCTCAGGAGCAAGAAGGCTGATCAGCAGCAGGTGGAGTCATTCTGCCTTCTGCTTCTTCGACTTCTGGCCCATGACACCCAGCGAAGATTTACCATCACAAAACATGCAGGAAAGTAAAGGGTGGAAATATAGTCTGTAAAACCTTTAAAATGTGCCCTTCCAGTGAGCCCCCCAATATCCCCCTTTAAAAGCTATTTCCAAGCTATCCCACTTCACTAGCATACAGTAGAGCTAGATCACATGTTTGGTAAGTCATAAAACACTTTACTTACAAAACTCTTCAAAGTTAGTTTCATGTGCTTTTCCATGCAGCAGTAAAAAGAAAAGAAAAAAGCACTGGCAGTCAAAATGTTGCTTAGTTACAGAAAGTAAAATTTTCTAAACAATTGGTATATTAAAAACACTAGTTTCAGACTCCGTTCTGGTCTGAAACAAAAAAAGGCTGGTTAAATTCATGTGCTAGAACAACAACCCCTATGGGTTTTGTTGGAATTGATCAATGTTATTTTACTATAAGATTAATAACATACTCTTTTTTAAAAGAAAAAAGTATTATTCTCTTTCAGTCTGTAACATCAAACAAATTCACCAAGCATTAACCAAAATGTTTATTTGCTAGCAAATAATTGTTGATTTGTTATAGAACTTTACTACCCTATTCCAAATTTTGAAGAGAGAAAAAAATTGTATTTGGAAGCTATATTTGTATGAAATCCTTAAAATATAAAGATTGGGTATGTGAAAAAATATCGGTGCAAACAATACGCTTTAAACCAGTAAGAAGTACACATTTCAAAGTTTTCTAGAGTCATTTTATGGATAGAAAAGGCACCGAGCCATTTGTGCTACTTGCTTTTGAGTTCACTTTGAGGAATTTCTCTCACACATAAATGTATCTGGTACTCAGCTTCATCTGACAAATGCTGGAGAGCACATTACATTTTATAACATCAAGTTCAGAGAGGGGTCATGTCAGGCCAGGTTGTGTCTGGGCATCAAGCACACAGGCTCCAACATGGGGATAAGAACAGGCTAGATCATGGCAATAATAAACTTAAAAAACCAAAAATGAAAAGGGGATCTGTAATATTTTTCGCTAATGAAAACAACTCCAAAAAGATGGGTCTATTTGTATTAGAAATGTTTGCCAGGGCAGGGACGCCCAACTATAGTGAGATCTGTCTCCACATGAAAAATGGCTATTGCCCAGAAGATAAGCTTTTAGGATTAGATCCTTTTAAGCTGTTTCTAGTTTGTGTGTGTGTGTGTGTGTTTTCAATGGACTAAATACGATTATTCAAGTACATTCAAATAAGATGCTGCCATCTGTTCTGTACGAGAATTGATATAGTCTGAGATAGAGTTCTACAGTATGGATAATCAAATACTGATTCATACCCACCGCTGATCTTATTTCTCAGATGCCATGTGGATCCTACAGCTGATGTGCATGATAAATAGCTTAGAAATTGACTATTTCTACCATACTGATGTGTCCTTATAAATAGAGAAGTGTGTCTGTGTGTATGCTGGCTGTTTTTGCCAGGAAGAAGAAGAAAAAGAGTTTGGATTTGATATCCCGCTTTATCACTACCCGAAGGAGTCTCAAAGCAGCTAACATTCTCCTTTCCCTTCCTCCCCCACAACAAACACTCTGTGAGGTGAGTGGGGCTGAGAGACTTCAGAGAAGTGTGACTAGCCCAAGGTCACCCAGCAGCTGCATGTGGAGGAGTGGAGACGCGAACCCGGTTCACCAGATTACGAGTCTACCGCTCTTAACCACTACACCACACTGGCTCTCGATAGCTCAGAATAGCTTCAGCAGGTGTCTGCCATACTCACTGCAAGAAACAGGCAAAAATACAGTCGTACCTCGGAAGTCAAGTGCCTTGTGAGTCAAATGTTTTGGCTCCTGAACGCCGCAAACCCGGAAGTGAGTGTTCTGGTTTGCGAATGTTCTTTTGAACCTGAACGTCTGGCTTCTCATAGTTTCCGGCAATTTCCCCCTTCAGGGCCTGTCTAGAAATGACTGGAGGTTTCCCAGTATCCTATCCCTCCGCTCTATAAATCCTGGCTATGCCGATGGGCTATACTAGTGGGTTTGTTTGTTTGTTTGTTTGTTTGTTTGTTTTGCTGTGGGTCAGGAAAGGTAGTTCTTACATATATCATAGGTCATTTCCTGTCAAAGCCAGCTTGATTTACCAGTATAAACTATTCCATTGTAAGTGGAATACACAGCAGAGAGCCAGTGTGATAGAGCTATTGGACATGGGCTGTGTACGTGTTTGCACTTACTCTGCATCTAGTGTGCTGGTTTGGGAAGCTGTTTACATAAAAAGTAGCAGCACATTGATCCTGTAGATTATTGCGAAATACTTTGTTTTGATGTGTTTCCCCCACCCCACAAACCAGCTTCAATTCGAATTGAGAACATCTCAATTCGAGGCAGATTTAGGGCAGCGTGACCAACTTCTCCACACTGGGTGCCAAGCTTACTTCTACACCACCTGTCCGTTACTCAGGCGAGGGAATGGCTTTTCAATAAAACGCAAGAATTGAGCAGAACGGAAGGCATGAGAAGCAGGTGCCCAATTCTGGCCTCGTACAGGTCACCGCTGAAATTTGCAAGACCCCTGCAGCTGATCAGGTAACGACATCCCCACCTAGTCACTACTCAGTGGCAGAGACATGCACCTGTTTTGCAGCTTAATACAGGACAGTGGTACCTCGGGTTAAGAACTTAATTCGTTCTGGAGGTCTGTTCTTAACCTGAAACTGCTCTTAACCTGAAGCACCACTTTAGCTAATGGGGCCTCCTGCTGCTGCCGTGCCACCGCACAATTTCTGTTCTCATTCTGAAGCAAAGTTCTTTTTTTAAAAAAAATAATTTTTATTAACTGACCAATCAAATCAAATCAAATCACATCACATAAATTCCGAATTACAAAGCCGAATTTTAAATTTTTGTTGGGGGGACCCATATTTCAAGTTCCGAAGGGGATTCCGATTATCTTCTTGCTGCTGCGTTAATATCCACAAATCTGTCCAAATAATGTTCATAATTCTATCCAGTCTTATCTTGCTGTTTCCACATCTCATCTTGTTCGTATATTCTTCTTTTTTTCTTTATGATCTCTTCTGATAATCTCCTTAAGCAGGTAAACACCAATTATAATCCTGTGTGAATTTTTCCGTTCATCCAATCATCATATCAAGATGGTTTCCATATATCATCACTTTCATAAATAACAGCACTCTTTCCATCATTAATCTCGCAAATCTGTCGCTCTTTAGTCCCTCTGAGGAGGTTCACCCACAATATAAAAACAGATCTGTTCCTCCTCCCAGATATAAGTCTTCCGACAGAACTTGCCAAAATGGTGACAGTATTTTTTGCTGCGTCATTCCAAAGCTCTTATGCTTTCCACGATCTTCTTGAAACATGCTTTGGTTAGAAAATTATCTCCACACAGTCTTAAATCCACAGCTTAAGTCATTTAAACGGCATTTCTGACTTGTGACTTGTGGGGGGGGGATTCTTGGTTAATCACATAGAGAAAAGAAAGAAAAGTTTTCCCCCCTCCCCCATCCAGTCCCGTTGCCGAACATACCGAGCCTTGGTGTGTCTTCTCATGATTTATTCTTGTTCCTCCGACCCGTCTTGTTTATCAGAGATCTCTTCAGTTAGCAGTCTTTACTCCCCCTTCTTCCTTGAAATATGTGCATTAGCTTCCTCCTAATTGTTTTTTTGAAGTTACTGCAGCTAGAGGTGCAAGTCAGAAACAGCGTCCAGGAGCGCCGAGATCCACACAAGGGCTTTCTGCCTAGTGCCCCCACCCCCACAAATTCGGGGGTGGTATAGGGCACAGCAGGCAAGGGCAGTCCCCCCCCACACGCTTGGGGGGGGCAGGGAGGCTGTTTACTCCCATCACAGCCTCTTAATTACCTCGTGTGGGTCGGAGAGATGTTATTGTCAGCCATCTTCCGATGCGCTCCTAGTGGCCCCCCTTCTGAAGCAAAGTTCTTAACCCGAGGTACTATTTCTGGGTTAGCGGAGTCTGTAACCTGAAGCGTATGTAACCTGAAGTGTATGTAACCCGAGGCTGAAGTCTGGCACTGGTCACCCTTTCCAAGCATTCAGTCAAGATAGAAGGAAGAGTAAACAATGACAGCAGTCCAATACATGGTTCTCTTAATTCCTAACGCCCTGGGGTTTTCTTTCCCAAAGTGAAGGCTGTGTTGCAGAAAGATTGCATGCAGGCGACAACTTTCAAGATCTGGCTTTGTTGAGGGGAGACATATGGAACTATTGCACTTCTGCTGTGGGCTCACTTGTGGAGATGAGACCGGTCGCTTCTTTTTCCTAGTCATTTTCCTGGAGACGCAGTCAGTATCCAAGATCTCCCATGCTTTTGTAGACACTTCCCACCCTTGGCCTAGGCAGGCATTAAAGTCTCCAGTCAAGATGAAGTCAAGGTTGGTCAGGGCAGATGAAGTCCAGATTCTCGAGCACGAAAGCAGAGTTAGAGGTCATACATTTTCTATTATTGGGGAATAATCAGGAGCTCACCAAGTTAGTGGCTAAATATCTTTATCTGGTTTTTTGTCGGCGAAACACATTGCAGATGTCTGATCTCCCTGGAGACCTAGAGATGTAATGTTAGACTGCTTTGCCTCTTTCATTTGACAATTGGTTTGTGTCACTGGGAAGGCAGTAATTTTGTATTGATTTGCTATGGGTGTTTGTATGTGATGCCAATAAAAGGTTTGATGATGATGATATGGAACTATTATTCAAAGGCATATGGAGATATATAGTAAAAAAAGTTAAAGGACCACTGGACGGTTAAGTCCAGTCAAAGGTGACTATGAGGTTGTGGTGCTCATCTCGCTTTCAGGCCAAGGGAGTCGGCGCTTGTCCACAGACAGCTCTTCCAGGTCATGTGGCCAGCATGACTAAACACCATGACGGAAACCAGAGCACATGGAAACACCGTTTACTTTCCCGCCACAGCTGTATCTATTTATCTACTTGCACTGGCATGCTTTCGAACTGCTGGGTTGGCAGGAACTGGGACAGAGCAACGGGAGCTCACCCCGTTGCGGGGATTCGAACCGTCGACCTTCTGATTAGCAAGCCCAAGAGGCTCAGTGCTTTAGACCACAGTGCCTCCAGAAGATGGGCGTCCTGGTTGGAGGGTATGTAGGCGCTGCTGCAATAAATAATCAAGTTCTTACAAATACAGAAGGGGTGTGGATTCCTACTCATCCCAAGGAAAAAAAGTTGCAAGTTGCACGTGGATCGGTTGCTGTTTCATTAAGCTGGCCACGGTCAGCCTTGTGAGCAGGCCGCCCTCCCTCTCATTCCTTTACATCAGGGCTGCTTCTCAGCTGTTCAGCAGTTATCAGAGTTATGAGGGACACAGCTGGCTGTCACATAAGCCAGAGTTTCATAAAAGAAAGATGGGAGCAACTTGACAATTTCAAACACTTATGAGTAAGATGGTTCAAGAGCACAGGCTAAATATATTTCCTGAATGAGAATGCACACAAATAGAAACTGAGGCTTTGCTACCTTTTAGAAGAATGGCTCCGCATTTCCTTTTTGTCACATTCATGTTTTCACAGGCACTCGGGACCAAATTACTCATGATATGGCAGATTTACGATTGTGTCTTCTGTCTTTTTGTATGTATATATAAAAACCAAACTGCAATCTCTTGCAGAGCTATAAATGAAATTAGCATGCAGAATGAGAAGTGTGGTATTATTTAGTTAATTTGTAAACTCCTCCCTTCTGCACTTGATGCCCAAGTCCTATAAACAGTTGCCCTATAAACTCAGAAACAGGACCCACTGAGTTCAATAAGACTTTAATGAAAATGCATATAGGATTTGTGGGATGTGAAACACATAGCTGTCAAGTACAACATTCCTAGAGTGGACATGCTAGTGGATGCTTTGTACCAGCCAGGAGTTTAACTTCCCATTTCCTCCTGAGCTGTGACAAACTTCTTCTGCATGGGACTAGAGGCCTGTGTGTGTGTGTGTGTGTGTGTGTGTGTGTGTGGCCTAACCTGGGCAAGGGAGCACAGCTCCTTTCTTTGGCTCTTCTCCATTTTGCTGTTCCATGTGTTAGCAGAAGTGACTGCCTATCCACAGTCACTTAGGCACTAACTCCCTAATGGGATAGTTACACATGTGTATATAGTTTTGCAACCTAAGTCTGCCTTCAGGGATCCAACTGTGAACTGAATGATTGTGAGTAAACTACTTTTATATTGACTTTGATAAGACTGTCGTGTCTATTCCTTTTAAGAGGGACAAGAAGGGATCTTACCAGGAATCCTAGCAAGTTAGGAAGGATATCATCAAACAATATATCCTCTCCTGCATCCCTGAACATTCCCACAGGATTGCAGCCTTTTTCATCTGAATACAGAACATTAATGGGGGGTAAGCTGTAATGTGGTATGCTCCATTTTCACAATACTTATTTAACAAATGTATAACCCACATTTCACACTTCTGAGGCAGCTTTGTACTAGGATTACAGTCCCGGCCTTCCTCTAATCACACACACACTACACACACACACAAATATATAAGCACATGGCACCCTAACACTTGCTTAATATAATGACTTCAGAGGAGCCAGTCTCACTGAAGAGTTCAAGGATGTGCCACTTCATATATTATCAGCATCCAGAGAATGCAAGAAGCTATGTTCTCCTCCTTCCTAGGACAGAATGTCTTCAGCATGAGGGGCCTTTTAAACCCTCCATACTATTAATGGGAAGCTCTGATACATCACATTATTACAACAGCTTTCTGACCTTTCACTATCCCTTGAGGCACCCTAGAGCAAGTTGCAGTAATGATGTCCTTCAGTATAAGAACTCTACTATCCATTTCTGGATATCAAAACTTTTATCATTAGAGGGACTGAATCTCCTGAGCAAGCATAGAATCCATTTTAATAGGGAATATAAAGTTTCCTCTACAGATCTAACTACACACGTCATAACCTTCCTTTCCTAGAGTTTGTTCACACTCCTCTAGCATCTAAACATCCTAACATCAGAAGGTGTCTTCACATGTACACACAAGTACACACATCTTCCCATTATTGAATTAATGACATTTGATTCATGGCAATTGATCTGCCATTTCCAAGTCATTAACTCAGCTTTCATAGATAGATCTATGCTTTAGAATCAGCCAGCAATATGTAACAATATAGAGCTGACCTGTTTTCAACGTGGCCTTAGAGTATTGGAAAACCAGCCAGATGATAGGAATCTGGGCATCCCAACAGTAGCATAGCGTGGGTTGTTGGTGCCCGGGGCAGGCAAACTGCTGACGCCTCTGGAATGCCCCTTCACTGGAGCCAAGTGGGGCTCCAATGCACTACCTGTCTTCCCGTGCAGGAGGGAGCCTGGCCAGCCGACACAGTTCTTGGCAGATGAATCACCCTAATGCCAACGGAGAGGAACGCAGGGCTGGGATTGCCCCTTGCCCACCTCCCTCCCTCTATGCCCACTCACCGTGGGCCTGGGTTGCTCTGCTGCCTTTGCCAGGACGGGGCAGAGATCCCTGTGGAAGCTGGTGCCTGCATGGGGGTGCAGTCCCTCAGAATTTTGTGCCCAGGTCCCCACCCCCTTGCCCCCCACGCTATGCCACTGCACCCCAAATTTAGGAATTTTGAGTCCCTAGTACTGCATATATTGTTGGAAGGTTGCTTCAGGCAAACAGGTCTGCTAATTCTTCTTATGACATATACATCAAAATGTACCTGCTTGCTACACGTTTTGAAACCTAAGAAACTAACCACAGCGTTAAATCGAAATGGGACTTGGGTAATTTTGTGATCCTATGGGCTCGGTAAACATCTGTAAGGCTTGACTGGCCTGTTTCTACTGGGTCAACCTGCCAGTGGGTGACTCTTGGTCCTCTGAATGTGTTTTCTTTGTAATATTATGACAGAAACTGGGCATGGCATGGTTACGCTGAAGTCTGCTTTTGGGGGTGTTTGGAAAGGAATGATGTCTGGGTTTTCTGAAACACTGGTGAGTTTTCCCCACCCAACTGCCTGGTCTCTTGATTCGGTGATTCTTATGGGAGAGAAACACCATCACTTTTCTGCTGCTCTATTTTGAGCCTGCCATGTCTTTTCCATACCAGGAGTACTAAAAATACTTTTTGGTGTGACCTTTATTTTCGCTTGCCTGAGAAACAGAACAGACGTATCAAAATAGTCTCTGATGTTATCTTCACTAACTTTCGTTCCCAAACGGAAACAAGCAGAATGGCACTTTGTTATTTGAGTACCATCAAATAAAAGTGAGCAATGGATAGGGGTACACACACACACACACACGTGAGGAAGTTGCAGTCTAGAATTGTGGCTACGGTAAGTTTCACTTCCCCCCAAAATAACTTTTTGTGGTGCTTCCTAACTTTGGAAACTGCCTCTAACTGCTCCTACAGCAGGCTACTACTGCTAATAATTATAATTAAAATTATATATATATATATATATATATATATATATATATATATATATATATATCCCGCCCATCTGACTGGGTTTCCCCAGCCACTCTGAGCATCTTACAGCATATATAAAAACACAACAAAGCATCAAACATTAAAAAACAGAATATCCTATGCAGGCAACAAACAAACCAATAAATCAATAGAAAGCAATAATAGCAATAATAATAAACAGTTTACAGTTATACCTAAATTAAACTAAACCCAACTAAACATTTATCCAACCCCAATCTGACAGAAACAAAACAGAGGAACCAAAAAATTAGAAGTGTTGCCCCAACCCAAAAGTTGTTCCAGCAATGTCCCAGGGGCCTCCCAGGAGCCTCTTTTGGCTGTTCAAGGTGAGTCTGGGCTCCGCCTCCTAGGCCACGTGGAAATGAGCCTTGTGGCAGGGAGCGGTCTTCCTTCCAGCGCTCACAGCAGCGGCAGCATGGTTCCCCAGATCCTCTGGGAACGAAGATTATGTGGGATGTGAAGCACATAGCAGTCAAGTACAGCATTCCTAGAATGGCCACGCTAGGAGATGCTTTGTACCAGCCAGAAGAAAACTTTCTGTTTCCTCCTGATCTGGGGCAAATTTCCTCTGCATATGACTAGAAGGTGTGTGTGACCTAATCTGGGGAAGGGGAGCCTAGCTGCCTGAAACCCCCGGAGCGCAGCAGCAGTTTGCGCTGTGCTCCGGGGGCTTCAGGCTTCAGGCGGCTATCTGCAAGCCTTCAGAGTGCAGCGCTGCGTTCCGAAGGCTTGCGGATAGCTGCCTGAAACCCCCAGAGCGCAGCGCGAACTGCCACTGCGCTCCGGGGGCTTCAGGCGGCTTCAGCGAAAGCAACGCGAAGCCTCCGGAGTGCGGGGGGGGGCCTCTCCGTCTGCGCTTTGGAGGCTTCGCGTTGTTATCGCTGAAGCCAAGGAGCCTGCATTCGCTCCATAGGACGCACACACATTTCCCCTTCATTTTTGGAGGGGGGGAAAAGTGTGTCCTATAGAGCGAAAAATACGGTACATAGTTCTCACCTTCTCATTTAATGAGTAAGGAGGTATTTGAACCCTAGTCTCTCCCAGGGTTTCCCCTTCTGAGAAACAGCTCTTCACTTCACTCACAGAAGCTGCTCAATTCTGCTCCTGGTGAGCAGTTGCTGGCATGGTTTAAAAAAACAACAACTGCAAGCATTCTATGATGTCACAGTAGGGGGCTTGCAGGCACTGGGCAACCAAAGTTGGCATGAGTGTTACGCAAATCTTAAGGTGCACGCATAGCAGACATGCATCCTAGAGAAAAAACAATCCTTCACCATTCAAAAATTATAAAATATTCCCTAAAAAGAAAGACACTTTCTTTGAGTTCACAGAGCAATCCTGAAGCCATCTCGACCCTCTAAATGGCCCCAGATATTTACTCTGCAGTTGAAGGAGAAACCTTTCCCAATAGTTCTTTTCACTTACAAATTCTTCAAAAGCTATAAGCCTCTCATATAAATAGGGGTAGATCTGTATTTACCATTTCAAGGGAACGGCTCAGACTGGCCAGGAAAGGGTAACCAGCAAGCATTGTCAGGTATCATGACAAGGGACAAGCCAGGAGACAAGACTGCCTCTTTCTGTGATGTATGTATGATGCTTGTTGGGTGGGCAGCGGTTTTCAACCAAGGTGCTGTGGCACCCTTTGGTGCCTTGAATGATGGTCAAGGGTGCTGTGAGCAACACTGGCCTCTGTCCCTCTTTCTCCCCCCCCCCCATGCCTTCTTGCATCTCTGCCTCCCAAAGGCTTGCGCAGCTATTTGTTGCAGCACCCCTGGCTACAAGCTCCCCAGGCGAATGGTGCCTCTGGAACTGGCCAGGGGGTACTTCCCAGGCCCCTGTGGGGCAACATGAGGAGGCACCTCTCTTTAGGGAAGGGGCGGCAGCTGCAGCTGTCCAGAGGACTCCTAAGGAGAGGGGAGAGGAGAAGAGGGAACTCTCCACAAGGGAAGGAGTCAGAAAAAGAACGAGAGGCTGCCAGCTCTGCTGTCAATGGGTGAAAAAGCTGGGCTCCTGAGCCTCACAGGACTGCTGCAGAAAGAATGTAGTTGGTCAAGGGAGCCGTGGACTCAAAAAAGTCAAAAACCTCTGGGCTAAGGGAAACCCAGCCAGATTGGGGGGGGGTATAAAAAATAAATTATTATTGTTATTGTTATGGGCAATTTCTCAAGTCTTTAAAAGTTGTTAAACACACTTGTCTTGGCTCCTCACCTCCATGCAACATGTAAGGTGAGAAACCCTGTCGCAACAGTAAAATTAAGATCTGTCTTGCTTTGACTGGTTCCTGCCGCCGCTCATTTTTCTCTGACCCATCATGGATTTAGCCCCAACCCCAAGAAACTAGTAACTGAAAGGAGGTGGGTCATGGGAACTGAAGCGTATGCTTTCTGCATACAACACACCCACTGCCAAGCAGCTCCATCTCATCTGCACCCAACCCCATACCACCCTCTCTCCAAAAATAGACTGGGGTCACTGAGTCCTTCCCAGCAATAGAATTAGCCGTACTGGAAGATTCCTAAATTGTTATTAATCCAGAGTTTAGAGTTAAGAATTCAAAGTTCCCAAATATAAAATAAACGTTCATAAATGTACACGGCAAACACATAAGTAAGTATAGGGGAGCAATCCTGTCAGCTTCTTTAGGAGACAACAAGAGTCTGCAAAGCAGGATACAAATAATAGAAAAAGTATTAAACTGTACATTTGAAAGAATATATATATATCACCCTAGCTTTGCATGGCATTAACATTGTTCTAACCACTAGGCCACACGGACTCTCCTAGAACCTTGGCACTGAGGCCGGGAATTCCATGTTCTCAACTGCCGTTGCCTAGCAACGGAGCTAGTGACCATTTGAACTGAGCTTCCTGCATCCTCAGCATCTCGAGGTTAGGCAGAGGTGGCCTGTAGTGACCTTTGCTCAGTCACTACATTAGAAGATGGCGTCAAAGTATCTCAATACTAGGAGGAGATAAATGTTTTAATAATTGGAAAAGAGATTTAACTAAATTCATATGGTCAGGGAAAAAGCCAAGAATAAAACACAAAATAATGATAGATAAGAAGGAGAGAGGCGGATTTGGTCTCCCTGACATGGAGTTACATCATGATGCGGTGGGTCTGACCCGGCTAAAAGAATGGATCAAATTAGATGACTCGGATGTATTGGATTTAGAGGGAGTAGAGACAAGATTCGGATGGCATGCCTATCTAATAGATGAAAAAGTCAAAGTACATAAAGGCTTCCTAGGGCATATAGTTAGAAAGTCTATATATAAAATATGGGAGAAATATAAAAGGCTCCTAGAACCGAAAACTCCCTGGTGGGCATCGCCAGCAGAAATTGTTGCAGTGAAAAATTAAATATGAAAGAAAATTGGGCTACCTATAAAATTCTTTTAAAGGAAGAAAACGGAAGAAGAAGAAGAAGAGTTTGGATTTGATATCCCGCCTTTCACTCCCCTTCAGGAGTCTCAAAGCGGCTAACATTCTCCATTCCCTTCCTCCCCCACAACAAACACTCTGTGAGGTGAGTGGGGCTGAGAGACTTCAGAGAAGTGTGACTGGCCCAAGGTCACCCAGCAGCTGCATGTGGAGGAGTGGAGATGTGAACCCGGTTCCCCAGATTACGAGACTACCGCTCTTAACCACTACACCACACTGGAATTGGAATTAAAGGATTATACAGAAATTAAAGCTCATATTAGTGATTGGTTCCAATATATTCAAATTAAGTATAGAAATATCAAAATTTGATAAATACTTAATACAAGAAAAATATAAAAATATATCTAAATTGTACAATCTGATCTTAGAGTGGGAAACAAAGGATGAATTGGTTAAAGCATCAATGATTAAATGGGCGCAAGATATTGGGGAAAATATTATGTTTGAACAATGGGAAAATTGTGGAAAGAAGATATGAAATTCACTATGTGTTATATATTGAAAGAAAATTACCTCAAAATGCAACATAGATGGTATTTAACACCTGAAAGAATAGCAAAAATGAATAAAAATTGTAGCGACGTCTGCTGGCGATGCAACACTGGAAAAGGGACTATGATACATATTTGGTGGAATTGTTTAAACATCAAACAATTTTGGGAAATAATTTATAACGAAATGAAAAAAATGTTCAGATATTCATTTAGGAAAACACCAGAAGGTTTTCTATTGGGAATAGTACCAGGAAGCCTAAAGGAAGAAGACAAGACCTTATATTTATACGCAACAGTAGCCGCAAGGCTATTGATTGTGAAAAATTGGAAAAGCGGTATTGTACCGACAAAAATAGAGTGGCTTGCCAAATTATTGGAGTACTACAATATATCCAAAACAATGGGAGAAATTGGAAGGATCTCAAAAGAGAAGATAGACAGGGACTGGAAGGTGTTTAAAAGATACTTGCAAAACCATATCGAAAAATCAGAACTATTAGAATGAACAAGTTCCGTTTCAAATACTGAAATACTAAATAAGATGGATAACAATGTGTAACAGAAAAAGAAGTATGAAATTAGGTTAAAGGTGTGTGAAAGAAAGTAATAGAAGTGGAAAGAAATTGCAATTGAGTAGATTGGAAGTCAAACACAAAGGTGGGGTGAGGGGTGCTGGATGGTGATGGGAAAATGAATTATTCGTGGGATTGAGTGTAGGTATGTTTGAACACTTTTAAGGATTGTATGAAATGTATGTTTGTATATTTGTAATATATGTGTATTTTAATAAATAATAATAATAAATTTTTTAAAAAGAAGAAGAAGAAAAAGAAGATGGCGTCCCAAAGACTCCTGGAGGTAAGTGGAGGTTGCCATGGCCAGGGGACTTAACTCTGGAACCTAGATTAATGGCATCACCAAGTTTGGCAAAAAGCTATCCAAAGTCAAAGAAAGGGTTGAGCTTTGCCCAAGTTTTTGGAAGGGGAGAAGGAATGCCAAAAAGGAAAATTCTGTGTCCTATAGTGAAGTCGATTGAATATTATTTTGAACAGAGGATTCCTTCTGATTTATGTACATGTGAATCTGGAAGAGACTTCATTTCTATTTATACATGCTGGATGTTATCTTTGTACTATAGTTTGGAAGGGAAAGGGGAAAACAGAAGAAGAAAAGAAAGTGTGAGCGGCTGGCCCAGTGGAGGGGAAGGGGGTGCCAGATGGAGCTGGTTTTTCTGCAGAGCTTAGGCAGGGAGCCCTGCTGCCCACCTGCCCACAGAGTCCATCACAGGAAAGGGCTGCTCCCAGGTGCAGGTGAGGGAGAGACAGGAGCCCTGGCGGAGCTCTGCTCCTGGAGGAAGGACGGATGAGAAACCGCGCCATGGGCTCTGCTAAGAAAGGCCAGCTCCCTCAGGTCTCCTCTCCCCCAACTGTCATCTGGCGGCAGCCATTTCAGCAGGCTGCCTCAGTGGGAGAGATGACAACAGCATTCTAGACACTGGAGCCTGAGCTTGTGAGTTGTCTTTTCCTCTGCCCTCCTCGCCCCCTTTCCTTGTGTGTTGTATTTCTGTTGGTCAGATTGTTTCTTACAATAGAAGTCTGCCATTAGGGAGTTTCTTGCATTTGATTTCATGGAAGGCTCTCTTGGAGCCCTTTTGGCTTAAGAGAGGGGTACAAATGCTCTAAATAATCATAATCATAATCATAATCATAATTTTATTTATACCCCGCCCTCCCCAGCCAAGACCGGGCTCAGGGCGGCTAACAACCAATAATAAAAACAAGTTGATTAAAAAACAATTTAAAAGATTAAGATACAACATTAAAACATTAGAATGCAGCCTCT